TTTATTGTAGGACAACAGAGCTATTTATACATTTTGCACAGCTTATCTTAATTAGCATAAACTAGATACATCAGTCAACCAATAAGGAATCTCCACACTTAATGGCTCGCTTTTGTTACTTCTCAAACCACTCCCTCTGGCATTTTGCCAGGCAACATCCAGACTTGTTTACGAACTCGAACATTCCCTTGGCAAAATACCAGGTGTTATTTTGACTTGTTTACAGACCTTAACAGGAGTGATTCCTTAAGAAAGGTAAGTCAGCTTGTTGTCATTCCGTTGATAAACATCCTCTGATAGATCCTCCTTTCACCCAGAGTAAATGCCAAAGTCTTTATCATGGTTTCTGCATTAGCTACCCATCTCCCTCCCTTGATACCCCCAGACTTAGTCTCTTATTGTTTTCCCCTGTTTCATACTGCTGCAGACATATGGCCTTCCCTGCTACTTGCTCTTCTTCAAACAAGCCAAGCAGAACACTGTCTTAGATCCATACTCCCTCTTTCCCCTAATTCTTGATGGCTTATATTCTTCTAACTCCCTTGCCTTGTTTAAGTATGAGGTCAAGCATCAGCTTACTAGGACCTACGCTGATTCATCAGTATGTAATTTCAGTCTCTGCCCTGCCCCCAGCACTTCACAGTTTCCTTTTCTTTACTTTGTGACTGTGCACTGAAATTTACCCTGGTCCAGAAAACTATAAAATTTAGAAAAAGTTAACTGAATGAATTGAAATTAAACTGAAATTCATAATTATAAAATAATTAATAAAAATAATTATAAAAATAAAGATATCCACAATTCCAGTGTTCAATATCTTTGTGATTGCCACATGATCAAGAACTGGTATCGCATGTCCTATAAGTTATTTCAACAGTCTAGTCCTAGCATAAGTAGATGCTCAGGAGAAATCTATGCCCAGGTATGGGTAGAGACATGTGCAAGAGTGGGTGCAGCAACCTTCTTCACAAGAAAAAAACAAGAATCTAAATCAAGTGTAGTGAGGTCTGTCCATCATATAATATTAATTGACAAAGTAAATGAATTAAAAATTACCTTCAAAAATATCAATAATTCTTAGTACTATAACATTTTTTAAATGAGAGCAATTTGACTCTTAATTGTTGTAACTTTTTTTTTTAATTCCAAGCTCAGTTGAGGAGAGTATTTGAGTAATTTTTTAATATCCTCAGAAATTCAAGCATGAAAAAGAATATGGACTTTCAACAATTCTAAGAAAAAATGGAAAGATTATTTAATTTGTTCAGAGAAAACCATTACCTGACCTAAGTTCTATACTTGCTCAGTGCCTCCTAGAATTCCAACTCAAGAGTTTAGACTCAACAAGGGTGGAGAGAAGACCCAAAAGCTTATGGCATTGTAACACAGTAAAATTTTGTTTTGAGGACAAAAACCAAGGAATATTAATAAGCATTTTCCTGGCCCCAGAGGTCTACAAATTGTGCTAAACTATCACTGAATAATAAATACCAGGTGCTAAGGATGTAGTTTTCTTTTTCTTTCTTCTTCTTTTTTTTTTTTCCATGCTATAGATTGATTCTAGGGCTTTGAACATGCTAAGCAAGTGCAGTTCTACTAAGATACACTCCCTTTATACACCAAGGTCCCATGTTATTTTTAAATTACATTTAAATGTGTGTGTGAGTGTGTGTGTGTGCGCGTGCGCGCACGCTCCGGTACATGCAGGCCGCACTCATACTTGATAGGGATTTCTTAGCCTTTGAGTAAAGGTAATACTGCCTGAGCATGAGTCTCATGCACAAATATAGGCATCTTATTCTATGAGGGTCATTAAATTAGCAAAGGATAGCATAAAAAGGGCACTCTTCTCTAAGGAATATTATATTCTTTTCAATAAGAGAGACAGAAATTATAAGCCAAAGGACAAAGAAACAAGGAATCAGAATGGTTTTTTTTATTCTACTAAGATTTAACTGAAATACACACGTAACAAGCTAACTCACTCTATTATTTGTTTTTCTGGTTTTTTTTTTTTTTCTGAGTATGTGTGTCATCTGTGCAATGTGTGGTAATCCCTGAGAGACTCTAGGAGGGACTAAATGTCACTGCCCTCCTTGGAAAGAGTGATTTTTATAGTGAAATGTGATGGAATACAGGAAGTTGGTGGTAATAAATTATTCAAGATAACAGTAGTCTGAGGGCATTCATAAGTTATCTTTTAAATAGTAGCCTGCAGCTGAACTGCATATCAAAATATGGTTAACTTTGTGCTTGGGGTTGAGATTATCCTGTTGGTAAAGTTCAATCATAAGTATGCCATTTTTCTTAATACCATATGTATTTTCTCTTTTATTCCATGATTAAACTGGCCCACCAAAATGAGACCAGACACTTAGTGACATCATTTAACTAATATATGTTTTAGCATTGTGTATTTTCAGTCAGTATGAAACTACTTTACCTGAAGTTATTGGTGGAATATAGCTTTAGGCACATTACAAAACATTTATAACAAATCAGATTTCTTAGAGCAATGCTTTAATTTTTACTAAAATTTCACTTTGAAATCTCCAATTAACCCTTCTGTTTGACCTCTACTATAAGAAATGCAAGTAGAAAGCCTTGAAGGCAATGGTTAATTGGGTATACACTTTCTAAGTTAGAAGTTTGAAAAATATTTTTATAACTAATTCTTTGGAAGTAGAAATCTATATATAACTAAGACATTTAGTCTAATTTCTGTGTTTCACACTATGAACAGCTGACCTTCTCTATGTCTTTTTTTTTGAAAAAAATTAATTTTAGAAGTCATGTCATTTTTAATTTAAAAAATTATTAAAGTTTGTCGCCCAGTTTGCAAAATGAATCATCTTAGAGGCAAATAGAGGCTCGAGGGTCAACTTTGTTGTTAATTTCTCTCAGGGTTTTTTTTCCCTGCTGTTTTCTAGAATTGAATAAGTTCTGTTGATAGAATTGTCAATTGATGTATGGGCTATTTTTTTTCCATTTGGCAAAAAATCTAGATGAAGATTTCATAGAAATTATTTATGGTTTGTTACAACTCTGATTCAAACATATCGACTGTAGGCAAGATAATTAAAATAACTAAAAAGAGAGTCAAAAACCAAAACTGTATCTTTGTGGATTAAGGGAAGATAATAATAAAGTAGTGATTGTTGCTGAGCATCAGGTCTTTTGAGCCATGGAAGCAGTAATTAGTGTTGTGGGATCTAGAGTCTTGAGGAGAAAAGAGAATTGGAGGGGCTCTGTGCTAGACTGGGACTCAAATGCTGGGATGGTATATGGTAATAAAACCTCCCAGGAAGTATCCTGTGGCCATTGAATTCAATGATGATACATTCTAACAACTAATACCTGTCACCGAGTTTCTCTGTTATTGTCACCATGAAGCTGGCAAGGTATGAGACTCAAAGAGGATTGTTATTTTTGCACAAGGCAACCAAATATTCACTGTGTAGGTGGGGTGATCATAAATAGAAAAAGGTAAAAATAAGATGAAATTGGACAAAAAAACTAAATTCCTCATATTCAAAATGAGTATCCAAAAACAAAGATAAAGCAAAAATTGCTAGTTGAAAAAGATGTCAGAAATGGTAATAAATCATTAACATGTTTTTCTTCATGAATTGTAAAAAATTTGTATTAAGTATTTAAAATTTAACTTCAAAGAAATGAAGAAATTCCTTCTACAGAAAAATAAGATGAAATAAAAACAGGATCCAGTGGGAAGAATGTTAATGGGAATGTATAAGTGAACCAATTAAATTCCATCCAAATGAAAAACACAATCTTTGAAATTTAAAATGCATAGGAAGGACAGAGTCTAGATAGTACAAAAAAATAGTAAATTGGTAAATAAAATTGATAAAAATCATGTAGAATCAATCACCAAAACATTTTAAAATATTTTTAAAAAATGGAAGAAGGATAAATTCAAAAGCTAGTGCTTTAATTCTAAGAAGTCAAAGACAGAAAAATGAAAGAAATAGCAAAGAACTAATACACAAAGAATTAAATTAATTAAATTACTCAATATTTCCACTTGATCCTTTTCTCAAAAAGGCATGGCATGAAAATTATACCCAATATACTAATAGGGTGAAAGCTATATACAGGCTGTCATAAGTTAAGAAATCAAACAGCAGGAATAAAGTAGTGATTTTTAAAATTATGAAACAAAAGTAATATATAACTAGTGTAATTATAATTAGTCATACAATAGAGTTTTTATTTTTATTTATTTATTTGGTAAAAGTTATTTCTGGAAGATAATGAAGTTAAAATGAAGGTGTTAGAAAAGTTGATTTCAATGTAGATGTAATTAACTTGCTAAACTATCAGTCAAGAAACTCCACTGTAGTCAACTTTCTTTCAAAATGAAGTAACTGAAACTGAATTTGCATACATAGCACTACCACCTTGAATAGCAAAAACAATAAAAAACATACTTTCTATATAAAACTGTGGCTTTCAGGATTACACATAAGGTAATGACGTAGTGTGATCCATCAGAGGTGGAGAACAAAGTGAGTCATACAACTGCTCCGTCTTACTGCCTAGAAATATTTCAGGCCATGGTTCTGGATGGGAAATCCTGACAGAGTGCCAAGTTGTCATTAATGTAAGGACACAGAACCAAGAATGTAAGACAAGGTGTCTACAGAATGCAAATTTAAGTACTGAACAATAATATGAGCTTCATAGAGGACGAACTTGAAATATGAGCAGAAAGGCCCATTACAAGCATATAATTACTCACAGATGGATTAGGCAACAAATAGGTCTTGAAAGAAAAGCACCTGAAAGGATTAGGGGGAACAGTGCTTGACACTTAAAACAAGTATTGAAATAGTTTCTTTTCCTTTAAACCAGAGAGGAAAATTTTACAATTAATGTTGAAATGAAAACAGTATCAAGAATTTCACATCAGTAATGGAGAAAAACATTCTATGCTGGTTTGATCCCACCTAAAAATGTCCATAGGCAGAATCCAAAAGAATGAAAAATGTTTCCATGTAAAATAGCAAACAAACTTCAAAAATCTTTATGGGAATGCAAACGTATCCAAGGGCAGACATTGTCTAGCATGCAATAAAAAATTATGAGTCAAGCAAAAGAAATAGGAAATTATGATCCATAGAAAAGAGAAAAATTATTCAGTTGAAACTGACTAGGAAATGACACAGATGATAGAGTCACTAAACAAGGACTTTTCAAAGAGATTATAAGAAGTTAGGTCTAGAGTGGCTGAGATGAAAAATATACTGAAGATGATATTAGTTTTAGTTGTTTGTTTACAATTCATAAAGAAAAACATGTTAATGTTTTATTACCAGTTCTCATTTATCTTTTTCCAGCTTGCAATTTTTTTTAAATAGATTGTAAGAAATTAGGTCTAGAATGGCTGAGGTGAAAAATATACTGAAGATGATAATGTCAGTTTTAGTTGAGATACTTTAGAAACAAAGATTGCTAAACTTGAGGGCATGGTAAATAAATCTTTCCAAACGTAAAACAAAGAAAAAAATGATTGAATGAGAAAAGTGAAAGAACTGAGCATCAGAGAAGCATGAAACAATTTTAGGCAGCCAAATACATAAGCATTTGGAGTTCCAAAGAGTAGGAGAAAGGAAACAACACTTAAAGACACAGAGGCTAAAATGTTTCAAGAATTTAAGAAGATAATAATGAAGTAAACTTCATAATTTATCATTAAGAGAAACTTTCTTTAAGAATATGATGATTAAGTCTGTTTAGACATGCAGAGTTAAAGGAATTCATCATAAGTCAACCCTCACTAAAAGAAGTATTAAAGCAAATCCCTCAAGTAGAAAGAAATGATACCATATGGAAACCTAGAACTATACAAGAAAACAAAGCCTGAAAAAAATAAACAGACTTATACTCTAGTAAATATATTATACTTTACATAAAGTTACATACTATCATTTGAAAGTAGTCTATGAGAAGATGTATATCACAAACTTTATAGGAACTACTAAAATAATATGAAAAAAACAACTACAGATAACAAAAATTAAAACAGAATAATACAATATTAATCAATCCAAAAGAGGTGGAAAAAAGGTAAAATGAAACAATGAATAGATGAAAGAGAAAACAAGTAAGTTGGTAGATTTAAACATAATTATATCAATAATTGCATTAATGTGAATGGTTTAAAACTTTGATTAAGTGACAGAGATTTTCATATGGAAATTAAAAGCAAACATTAACTATATGCTACTTACTCAGCTCTCCACTTCAAAATGCAAATAGGTTAAAAATGTAAAGAAGTAAACAAATAAGCTACACAAACACTAATTAAAATGAAATTTAGGGTGGCCACATTAATGTATATTTCAAAACAAATAATAGTCACAGATATAAAGAACATAATTAAAATTGCAAATTCATCCAGAAAATATACTTCTATTCATATACCAAGTAACAGAAATGCAAACAGATAATGCATAATGTTTTATCAGCAGATAAAAGCAAAAGGATAGGTGAAGGATTCCACAAAACTATTCTCAAAATAATTCATAGAACATAAAGTCAAAATATCAATGAGGATTTAGAGTACTTGAAAAACACTAACACTTTCTGATTGATAATTTATAGAATACTACCCTCAACAATAGTAGGCTACACAATCTTCTTGGGTGCATACAGAAAAGTTACCAAGATACACTGTATTCTGAGCCATAAAATCAATAAATATAAATTGAATAATTCATAAATTATGAACAAATAATATCAAGATATCTATAAATAAGCAAGTATTTGGAAAATCATGTATAGTCAATTTTAATTTGGCATAAAATTTAGGTGTGCATTTTTAGTATAACTTATTTTCCTCTTGCTACAGTCAACTAGAAAGTTGGATTTCAACTGTGATTGCATTTTACTGAACCAACTTAAAAATGTGAAAAATTGTTGAGAGTATTAAAAGTAGTACACAAAAGTGGATCTTGGATATTATAAAATATAAAGAGTAAAATAGTACACAAAGAACTAGAAATAGAATTAAAGACAGCTGTCATGACTCGTGTTGGAGTTGGGAAGATGTAGTGGTTAGAGTGTGATGCATGAAATTTGTATTAGGGAGTGTTTATAGATACTGATGCTAATTTTTCAAATTCAAAAAAAATAATTTTTGTCATAAATAAATGTATTCAAGTGGAGGAAAACAAAAATATAAGAGTAAACTTTATAATTCATATGTCATTAAAGTGTGGAAAAATAAAATAAAAATAAATGTAATTTGGAAGAATATGTTTACGCAGTATATATTTACAAAGAAGCACAAAACAGAGTATAAAAGTTCCCAAAACTGAACAATAAAAAACAAACTTACTTACAAAAATGTGGACAACAATATAAATAAGTCACTCAAAATAATAAACCTGAGTGTTCATAGCACAACATTAATATTCATCAGAAAAACTCCAGAATTTTCATACAAGTAGGAATTTGATATTCAAGCACTTTGGAAGACAATAAGTAAATATCTAGGGAAGGTGAACAGGTCTATAGGCTATAATTCAGAAAGTCCAATTGTATACAAATATGTATGGGAGGCATATACAATAACATCAACTCTAGTGTCCTTAATAGTGTACAAAAATCAAAGCATCTGTACAAATATGTAACAATGAATCCCATTTTTATGTATAATTATAATGTACCAACAAAAATGTGGGAAAAATATGGCATCCATCAATAACAGAACAAGTAATTAAATTGAGTTATTATTATTCAATGGATTAGGATGAAATTAAGCATCTGAACTGAATTTACAAATATCAACATTAGTAAATCTCAGAAAAGGAAGATACAAAAATATAGTATATGCAAAAATATAGTTCAGTGCAATGTTGTTCATGTAAAATTTCAAAGGAAATCAATAAATGCAGTGTGAGTGTTTTATATAAATGTATAAATAAAGGCATGTAAAAAGTATATATAATGAATATAAAATGGAGATTTCCTCTAGAAATAGATGAAAAGGAAATGACTGAGTATGTGAAGAGACAAAATTTACTTGATCTATGCTTTTTTGTTTCTTAAAAAAAAACCTTAAAGGAATATTGAAAATCATTATATTTATTTTAACTTGTTTGTAGGCATAAAGTTATCTTCATACTTGCTTTTATTTTTTGAAATATGTACTGTAAAAAGTAAATATTTGAAGTTCTAGTATACCTTATCATCTGAATATAAATAGAAAATAGGCAATATCTAAGGACTATTATGCCACCTGAATGAGCCATATTAACTAATGAAATTTATATTATTAATACAATAAAAAGAAATTAGATTGGTAGGAAAAAATTAATATTCTCACAAATTCAAATGTAATATGTGTACAAACCATCTGACACATTAATCAATT